TTTTTCTTCATTTTTCTTTTTTGCTCTTTTTCTGTGTATCCGAATTTTGTATAAAATGGATACAAGTTTGAGATCAGATTGAGGGAGTTTTTTTTTTAGAGAATTTCAATCAAATGTATCAAAAATAATCCAAAATAAATAAAATAAAACACTTACCAGTGCACAACGTTTCGCTACCGCCTTGACCGTGCCAAATCAAATCCCGCCTCTCCTTAAAGTAGTGTCACGTTACGCTGCGTCTTGGTTTTTGTAGCGACGCTGTCGCCTTGTTTCTTTTGAGTGGAGGTAGTGCTGATAGCTTCCGACAATACCATGATAGTACCATGGCGTGATCATAATCATGAAATTATGCAATTCGATTTTTACTAAACTTTTAGCATCCACAACTGTTATCTTATAAATAAAAAAAATGATTTATTTTTTTTTTTTTTTACCATCCCTAACTGTACGTACTATACGATAAGTTCTGAAGTTTAGGAAATGACATTTAATGAGTTCCTAAATATCCGAAACAGGGAACAAATCCTATTGTAAAATTTCGGAAATTTCCGTTTACACGTGACAATTTCCGCCTTGACTTTTCATTAGTCGGAAAATTGCCGAATATGATATCATATATACTTATGTATATAAATATTAATAAATATTACAATATCATTATTAAAAAACTGCTACATCCGGCTGAGTTTTCTAAGTTCCGGTTAAAATAAACACCGCCGGAGAAAAAGCAGCTTCCGGCATTCGGAAATTTTGTGCCCTGATCCGAAACATTTACGAGATATTCCAAAAATACGTACTGTACATAACTGATACTGTACGCATTACATGTTAAAAAAAATATAAACGGTACATCATCAATTGTACAGTATAGTATATTACTATAGATTGACCGATTGTCCAAACCAATCTTTTTTAATTGTAATATTAAAAGCTTATATTCAATAAACTCATTGATAATGATTTTCGCACAGAGTATCTCGGAGTATCAATGTTATTTGTGATATTGACCATCTAATAATGATGAGACACAATCAACTTTATTTATTAGGAAATAACAAATACCAATAAATTACAATTTTTGTAATCATAATTAGTTAATTTAATGCTGGTGACCACGTAAAGCAGCGAGGGCAATATCCTATTAGTGCATTTCGTAGATGTGTTTGTTTACAACCCTCACGTAAGATAGTTAAAGAATTTCTAAGACATAAAAATTATGTATTTATGCGCAACGTAAGAGATCTCTTAATAGACCTTTCTAGCCCCACTCCCTAAAATATTACGTAATATACAGTATGTTAGCAAATTACACAATATTATGGAAGGCGAAGAATTAAGAATGTTGGGGCAGCAATTAAAATATTCAAGTTTATAGGTGTGAATGCATATGAGTTTCATGAATTGTTAAATTTATTTCCTTATGTAGTTTAATATGTTATTTTTACGACCTCTCATTTAGGTGTGTATGTTACAATTATGTTCTTTCTCCGTCAAATTAATATATTTCGTACTGCCCCTAATTACAAGCATTAGAATCACATACAGGAAAAAAGACAAAAAGAAATAAAATCTCAAATATTTTTTTATTTATGTATTAAATTACCTTACGTATTATTATTCGTATACAATCGTCAAGGCTTTTAATCATAAAAAGAACCAATGCTAGGTAGTGTATGCATCAAATATATTACAAAAAGATACGTATTTTTATCTCCGAGATATGTATAAAAAATAAATAAAAATTTAAATTATTGCAATTATGCAATGAGTAACCAATGCTCTCGTTTGAACAAAGTGTTTTATAACAAATTACGTAGATTGGGCTTTGATTATACGAATTTCCTAATACATCAGCAATGAATGACCTGTTATAAAATTAAAAATTAAATCCAGATAAAATTTCCAAAATTAGTTCATTTAGTAAAACTTGGGAATGTACTTATGCATGTACGACAAATTAGGACTTTTTAAAGTAAGTCTTGCTTTTATATAATGAATTAATTATACGTACGTTTCAAATTTTGCTACGTATGAATGAATATTACTTCTTTTTAATTTATTTAACATTACTTTATTCTTTAAATTATTTTAAATAATTTGTCTATGTACATCAATTAATTCTTCGAAATGATTATCCACATCAATCAATGTCGAGTAACCGTTAATTACGTAAGCAAGCATTGCACAGATTTGCTGTACGTTCGTAAAAACTATAACTTAAGCTGCGAAGGTTCATAAGCCCTATTTTCAATGATTAAAATAAATAAAGCCAATGCAATTATAAGTTTATTATAAATCCGATAAATTAAAATGAACTGTATCTGGTATATAAAACTGCAGTACTTCAAAGTAATTTTCCTGAATATTCGTTAAATAATATAATCCCAAGTTTTTATTTTTCAAAATGATGCCCCCTTAACTAATATTTCTATTTGAGTAGAGTAGTCTGTAATATGTTGAATTTAACATAATAAATCCTCAATCCACATTTACCAAATTCAAATAATGTTTCTTTATTTTTACGTATTCCAAATCCTGTGTCACAAATCACGTATCACAAAATGTGAGACAATGTGATTAATAAGTTTGAAAGGGCTGAAAACGCTCGTAAGGCATTGGAAATGTGATAAGGATCGCCAACAATACAGCAACAATATAATACCGTAATGCAGTGTAATATTCTATAAATGGGTAATTCTTTGTTTTGTCGGATAATGTAAAATATCACGTGATAACAAGACTTTACTTTTTTTTATTATTATTTAATTTAGTAAATAACTACGATCGTTTAATAAAACCTTTTAATTTCTATTTTTTTTTCTACATTTTTCATGAATAGAAATTACATTCCAAAACAGGTATTTCGTTATTATTAATTTATAATGCTTATTATTCTGCTCCCCAAATAATCGGCGTTTGATAGTTGTGTGTGCCCTAAATTATAACGAATAGAGTTTCATGATAAAATTATTTCTTTAATTAGTAAATTACAATCAAAGAACTTATAAAATAGATACCCTATGAGAAATTGGTACACTAAAATGCCCGTACAAATACTGAATAAAACATGGATTTAACACGTATTTCAGGCAATGTACAGAAATTTCACACGGAACTGCACGGAAACTTCACACGGTCACAAAAAATTTAAACAATGTAAAATACGATAGACATGCGAAATTGCTAGGAAAGTTACGTAAAAATATTATGTCACATTAGGCAATATACCGGAAAGCACATAAAGTGCACGTCAGTACGTGCATTGTTGCACGGAATCAACGCCTTCTTACGTGTTTTGACGTAGCTGTCTCGTGTACTGTCTCGTGTATATTTACGTGCATGTATGTGTGGTTTCTTGCTTAAAATTTCCGTGTTCCGTGTCGTAGGTAGTTATTTTATACATTTTATGTTACTTGTGATATTTAAGTAAATTTAGTTTTATCTGAAGATCTATCCTTAGGAGTAAAAATACCACCATACTTTTTTTTTCAAATACTGTTTAATAATTTGAACACCAATAATAAATGATATTAATTATTCAACTGCAGCTAATTCTTTGCAGAAAAAAAAAATAGTTTTTTGTGATCTAAATACTGTATAATTCACTGATATAAAAATAGTGTATTTTACTAGTATAATCTATTATTAAAATATGGTACCATAAATATATATAGTAATCAATAATAAAAATATTAGCATAATGAAAGTAGACGTTCTTTCGAAGCTAAAAATGGCTTTTACAGTGATTTTTGTTAGTGAAACGTTATTTTCCCCAAAAAGTACTTTAAAGTTTATAATAAGTTATGAGGCTAATTGGTTTACATCAGCTAACCGACACGAAAGTTATCCTATGAGGTGTGACCCTGCGATTTTTTTGTAATTATAGTGATGCCAATTGATCGCTACGTATATATTTGTCTAAATCAGTAAAATTATTTAATTCCTCGTTGACAACATGATTTGCAGAGGTCACACCTTATTGTAAAGCGCCATAAATATTTCAATTATCTAGTAATTAGTAAAAATTGTACTTTTTTGATCACCCGATAACCATTTCGCCGACAATAACATTGTCGGGGTTTGGGTCAGAATCCCGACAAACAAAAATCCCGACAAAAATTGACTAACACTATGATAACCCTAACCCTAATGCGGGCTAATCTGTCGGAATTTTGACCTTGTCGAGATTCTGTTTGTCGGAATTTTGACCGGCTCCCCTTTGTCGGCGATATTGCACAATAACCTGAAACAAATAGGAAAATAAAGATAGATAGATTATGATAAATATGCATGTAAGATTTTATAATAGATACACCTTTCGTTTGTATGATTTTCGAGGCTCCTCGCTAAGGCGAGAAAATAAAGAAAATAAACAGAGTATAATGTATGAAGTAAACCTGACCATAGCAGAGTTATTTTTAGTAAAAATTATTTTTTAATGTTATTTTAAATTACTCATTCGTTGGGTCAGCAAAGGCTATTTGTTTTGTTTTATGTTTTCAAAATAATTTGATGCATCTTATGTGTTAGAAAAAAAAATTATAATTAATTATTATCAAAATCGTGTTTGCACGATTATGATAAGCAAAATATTTATTACTTTATGTTTATGTTCAACTACATGAAATATTACATATCTTATCAAAAAGTTTAATGCAAAATAATTATGCAAATATAGCTGTCCTTCAAATAAATAAAATACTATAATCAAGAATTTCGTTTTAAAGAACGTTCCAGTGTTCTGAAAATTTTTTGTATAAATAAGAAATCTATCTAGGGGAAAAACGTTGGTTAATTCAAGTTCCTATTTCTTTGATCAAACAACTATCTATGATTAAATCAAGTAATGATTAAGTAATGATATATTATAAGTAGATTAAAACATTTTTAAATAATTAAAAACAAAATAAACTTTATTTTAAAAATCCATTTTAAAACCATTTGGCATCCTTAAATCCATCTTAAAAAAATTTTACTAAAATAAAATTCAATAATTGATAATGGATGATAATGAACAAACTTCTCAACAATATATTGATGGTGTTCTTGACCCTTTTAATGGATATCAAAATCCAGTAATTTCCGAACCAACGCCATTTTCTATCATGTTGTCCTCTGGGACTTCATTTACATAAAATATTCTTTATTCATCCATTTACCTACTTACGATATTTTCCAAAAAATATCAAAAAAAAAAAACAATTATTTATTTCTACAGATAACAAAAATCAATTACTCATCCAAACAATATTGAATTTTAGTTGGTTGTAACACGCGCGCGATCATGCGTATGATGCGCATGATTTTTTTTTCGGTTAATTTTTTTTTTCTTTGCACATTATATTTTATGATTATTCTTTTTTTTTTCTTTGCACATTATATTTTATGATTATTCTTTTTTTTTTCGAAAATATTCCTTGGTGAATGTTTTTTCGTGATTGGCATGGAATTATCGATTATATTTTTTTTTCAATTTTTGAGATTGGCAATTTCTAATTTATGATAATTATGATAGTTAAATAATTAAATAAGCTTTAATTCTTTTTTATAATACACTTTATTATAACTAAGTCGTAATTTTTATTAATTTATTTTATATTGTTGATAGTATAAATTTGGTTATACTTAATTATGATAACTGAATAAAAAAAGCAAAATCTGTTTATTATTCCAAAATTTTCTGATAAAACGTCGTTTGTGCATTATTAAATCTTAATAAAAATTCTATACCGATATTTTGACTTTACTTCAAAATTGGAATCCTCTTTGCTTTTTACACACTTCATTTGGCAACACAAGAAAAAACAATTAGCCTTTGCGGCATGATTAATCTAATGAATGCGTAATTTAAAACAATATATTTAAAAAACAATTTCACTAAAAATAACTTATGTTATTATCAGGTTTACGTTGCATATATGCAACAACTCAATTGGTTACATTACAAATATTTGATAAAATGCCTTCAATACAAACGAATTAAAATCAAACAATTGAATGAAGTGATACTCATTAAACCATATTTAGAGTATAAGGAGAACTTCTATAATATAAATGCCCAATAAATATGTTTCTAGAGTGTATGCCATAGCGAGGACCAAAAATCATATGAACGAAAGGTGTAACTTTATAAGTGTAAATTTACATGCATATTTATCATAATTATCAGAAAATCGTACAGGGCACTAACTATTTTATTTTTTTTCGGAATATTATTCAGGGTACTAATTATTTCTCCGAACTAATATACATTATTTATATCACAAAAACCAATTACTTTTGCAAGAATTAGCTTTAGCCTTAGTTGAATAATTACATGTAAGAGATCTATGATCACTTGTTACGTATTAGTATTTAAATTATTAAACAGCTGATCTAAAAAAAAAGCATGGTAACATTTTTTATAAATATGGTTGTTAAAGAAGTACCCCTACCGATAGAACTTCAAATAAATTAAATTTATTTAAGAATCATAAGTAACACAGAGTGTATAAATAAATTCTATTTGGCCATTTAATTTTGAACAAATCAAAAACAAAATAAATTATTTTATAACATAAATTTTACCATTAATTTTATGTATATTTGTAATTTTAAACAAGGAAATTATTTTATCATAAATTTATTCGTTATTATCAATTTCCTAATCCGTTTCTCAGGGGTAATTTAGCATTGGATAAAATTCCAAATTGATAATACGTAGCAACAAAATACAATAAAACATCCTATTTTAAAAATGGTTTCTATTTATAGAAAATGCAAAAAAAAGGTAAACTAAATGACTATATTAAAGAATTATTGTTATTTACACACTAATTAATAATGAATGGCAAAATTTTATCACGTGAAGTTTCTTTCTTTGTCTATTTGTAAATGATTAACAAAACAAGAATCATTGTTTACCAAAAATGTAAATTCATACAATTCATTACATTGCATTAACATTTTTAAAACAATGAAAATTGAACGATCTGTTTATTATCACATTGTCACACGCATTTGAATACAAAGATCCATTATCGAATCTAATTTACAAATAAATTTATAATTGCAATTGGATAACTGAAAGTGGAGTTTGCATGAACTTCGCAACTGAATACTTATGCATCCGTAGTTTCTAGAAGAATTAATTGATGTAAATAAATTATAACAATTTCTAAAGAATATAATAACGGTTTTACGGGTAATTTGTAAGTCACCAACAAATGTTACGGGTAATTCGTATACTTTCTTTAAGCTCCTCACCAGAGGTGTGACGTAGGTGATTTGAGGAAGGGGAATTTAATAATTATGATCAACCTTATGTGCCCCTACTTCGCACATAAGAGTTGTTACCAACCTCTAATGTTGTAACGTCCTTTAAATAGTTTTTAATTCTTATATGCAACGGGGGGCTTTGCTATCGTAGAGGCTTTGGCAATTGATCGTCGCTTCTCAGAATTTCTTGGATCAATTGTTCCATCAACGATCCCTTAAGCCTTCTAAGACTATACGATCCAATCCTGTTTCGGGAGGCGCAGTTTCATCAGCTTCATCACGTATGTCACTTTTACCCCGTGAAAACGGTAATGCTATATATATACGTATGATTTAAATAATAATAAACCTACCATTGGGTATGAAGTATAATGGCTAAGTAGCGTTAGTTCATTACATAAAAGGTAAGACTTAATAAAAAATCTATGTCGTACAAAATACATAATTAATACGATTATCAAAGACTTTATCGGATGATCCAATTTTGGTGTTAATAATTTCATATGGCATATGCAGACCTTTTTCAAGCTCTTTATTCATTTGTTTAATGAAAAAAAAATGTAAAGCACATTTACATAGTTTGTTAAACCCATTTTATTTCAAAATACGGCATTGGTTACATATGTATTATTGCAAATTGTATGATTTTTTTACAGTATTTATTTACACATTTAGCGATAAAATGATGAATTTCTATTGTGTGATATTTAATGCAGACTCTAATCAGGTATTAGTTCTTCACAAGATTCTTTAGAATCTAAGAATTTTTTATATCTTTTGTTGTACCAACCAGATTACGAATATTAATAAGATAATTTAATAAATAAAGAATTTTGAAATTATGCTTCTTTTGGGGTTTTCTGCATGTGTTTTCTAATGTTTTTGATTAAAGGGCAGTACAAATTATATTGAGGCAAGAAAAAAAATAACATAAATAATAACATACGCACATAAATGAGAGGCCGTAAAAAGAAAGCATAAACTACATATGAAATGGAACAATTAAAAAATAACCAAATCATGAAACTCATGCATTCATAACACCAATAACTAAGCGTTAGTTTATTGATATAAAACAAATTCTTAATTATGGAGATGTTCTTCGTCTTTAGATTATCCTTCATAAATTTGTGTAATATTTAATTTTAATTGCCGATAACTAATTATGACTCACAAAAGTTGTAATCTATTGGTATTTGTAATTTCCTAATAATAATTAAAGTTTAATTGTATCTCGTTCAACACGTTCATATGAACATCATTGAATGAAAGATTAATTTATTATCTGAACATCATTGATAGTTTAATTCATCATCAATGAGGCTATAGAATATAAGGTTTTCATATAATAATTCAAAAAAATTCGCTTGACAAGTCAATTAATATAACTCTTATTCAGGCAAATGTTCTTATTAGCATGTTTCAAAATTAATATAATTCAAAAATAAGTATTTTTAAATTTCAAAATCAGAAAATGAAATAAAAGCGTCGGGATTATAAAACAGTTACAAACAAAAATACAATTAAAATCAAATATTCTTTGCAAGTCACCTATTTTGAAATAAATACTTACTTATTTCATCCGAAATCAGACGCTGAATCATAATGTACGATCAGTATAGAGTTTAGTGTCCGATTATTTTATGTGAATAATAAAACATAATTATAATTGATATTATATGATATTATATACGAAGGAGAGATTTGATTTTTCTTTATTACTATTTAATTATAACGTTTCACCTATTGTTCAATTGTTTTGTCTTTTTCGACATGTTTGTTTTGCGCTGTCGATCTGTGCAATAATATTATGCAAATACTGTATGTTACCTCGGATAAATTGCCGCCGCTCTGTTTACTACGCCGACAATGCCGACAATGTATTTTAAATAGTAAATTCAATACTTGTATGTACTGTACGTAGGTAGTACGTATGTACCTTACATAACAGGACACATGTCAAATTCATAATATGAATTTAAGTTACGAAAAATTCATTGCGCATAAAGTAATTAAAATATAAATAATTAAAAAAGATATTAATTATTCATAAATAATAATTTGAAGGGTGTTCGGATTGAGTGTTTTACGTATTAAAAATGGTCTAAGTTAACATATTTCTTTCTTTCTTTCTTTCTTTGTTAATTTACTCTTTGTTTTTTTTTTTTTTTGTTATGCAAAATTCCAATTTTGTCTTGTGTTCAATTTTCTTTTTTCGGATACCTATTTTAGATTTATTAATATTCTATAATAAACTCACCATTTTACACGGAGTATGTACTTACGTTTTAAATTTATTAGTCTTCGCTATTAATAAATTAATTTCTATTTCTGTAAAGACTTACTCACATGAAAATAAATATTATAATTGGGCGAGTCTTTTCCACCAATTGTCAACAACAATAATCTACAGGGACCTACGGGCGGATTAGTCGATTGAGGCGTGTTAGATTTGGCGAGTGGGTTTGGATGCCATAGGTAAGTCTTCTTCTTTACTTGTCTTGGGTTTCTCGTATGAGTCTTACTAAAAATATTCCTCAATTACCACGCTACTTTGGATAATTGGACAACGATATTAACCACAACTTATCCACAGTACTTAGGGATAGTTGCACGATAACCACGGCTGATCCTCAATAATTTGAGGGTAATTATAATATATCACTAGTGTTACCCGGCGAAGTCATGTGCCATGTGACTTCGGTAACTCTAAATTAGGGTGACCCGGTCTACGTGGTCCATATTGTCCATATGGTCCACATGGTCTACATCGGCAACAAGGACTAAACGGAGCTTTTGGTCCAGGAAGACTATGAAGGGGATATAGTCAGTAAGGAGAATATAGACATTATAGTTAGTATGGTTAATGTAGTAAATAAAGACAGTGTAGTCTCCCGAATGTAAATAGTAAATTTCATTATAAATAAAGGCCGTGTTGGCCCTTTGAGACAATAGGTCTTGTTCAATAAATAATAAAGTCCTACTATCTAATTCCCACATTCTTTAATTACCCCCCCGATATTCTACTACCCTATAAAAAAAAGTTATACAGAATATAATATATTTTTGTTAAGTTTTATCCAATTTGTATTCAAAATAAATTCAATACTGTACAATATTTGTATCGAAGTATAAAATCAAAAAAAATTAATAGTAATAATAATTGTACAAAAATATACAATTTTATTAATTTGACCAATAAATATGCAGAATAATTGTATAATAATCTATGATATTAAATTTACTAATAATTATATATAATAATTGTATAAAATAAGTAATATTATAGTTTTATTTGTATTATAATCATCTTATAATTAATACTAATAATTGTATTGCATTTGTATTGACAGTTGTATTATAATTGTATTGCAGTTGTATTATATAAGTTATATAATTGTTATGTTTATAAACTGTAAATGTATGTTTCAAATAATGCTCTTAGTAGAGTAAACTAGAATATACGATATGTATATATTATTCAATATTATATTATAAATATATATAAATATATCAAATATATAGTCAATTTTGTGAAATAAATATTCAGGTTTTATATCAGCATTACCTAACAAAAAAAACTTTTTTTTTAAATTGTCTAGTTGCTATTTAATATAGTATACGATATGCATATAAGCAAATGAATATTTTGAAACTAGTTTTGATTAATTGTAATAATGCAAAATAAAAAATTCATTTACTTTATAGTTAGTAAAGGCAATACATTAGATTTAAAATTTCTTTATCGCAACTTTTTTGATAGGTAATGCTGATATAAAACCTGAATATTCATTTTACAAAATTGACTATATATTTGATATATTTATATGCATTTACAGTATAATGTTGAATAATATATACACATCGCATATTTCAGTTAGCATTTTAAAAATTTATATTTAAATTTATATATGCTCACCTATAATTAACCTATTTAGATTAATGCTATATCAGAAAAATAGTTGTCTAAAGTTGTGTAGTATTTTTATCATTATATATCTCATAATTTTAATTTACAAATTTAAGATTATTCTGCATATTTATTGGTCAAATTAATAAAATTGTATATTTTTGTACAATTATTATTACTACGTATAAAAAAAATATTAACTAAGTACAAAATTGAGTTGTTAAACTAGTCCTATCAGAAAAAATTCTCGGTCATATGATTTTCGTGCTAATTTTGAGTTTGGATGACCTATACTATATTCATAATCTCATTCTACATTTATTATTATTCTGATGCGTATTATGAGGCCCTTCAGAATACAGGACAATCTTGAAAATCACGGGACTGAGAATTTTTTTTAACAGGACTTGTAATTTTGAAGGTTAAAAAATCTTAAAATGTTTTTACTGTAAATTCTGAAATCAAAGAACATCCAGATATGAAAGAAAATAGGATTCATAGGTGTTTCAATTCGAAATAAATACCTTGATCTGTTTTCATAAATTTTGAGACACTTGAAAAAATTGTTCTTTCCTGAAATCTCCTTAATCCCATCTTAAGAATTACCTAACTTTTTGGAAACTACGTTGCTCTTCTCAAAACTTCAATTCAGAAACAGTGATGTAATTTCTGAAAATCTAGGTGATTCTTAAGATAGGATCAAGAAAATTTCGGGAAAGAGCAATTTTTTTAAGTGTCCCAGAAATACACGAGTTTTTTTTTTATACAATTTTTATGGTCACGTCTTATTTCACTGATAATTATTAAAAATTAGCTAACGCTAACACTAACCTAACCCTACTGTAACTCTTAATCGGGTTGAAATGATTTTTGTTCACTTTTGTATAGTAAAATTAAGGCAATCAATTTACACCAGGCAATTATGTGAAAGTAGATTTACAAATTTTAATTTTATCATTATTAATTTTTTTAAATTAACCGGGTCAATCAGTTAGACATAATTTACTCTGGGTTAGAAGTCAAAATTACAGTTTCTGGGTTAGCAGATAAGCGAGTCGAATCTCTAGAGGTTACGCTATTATTACAACCCTAATATTGATTAAAACTTACTCAAGTATAAAAATACACCCAAATAGTGCCTAGCCACGTAACAAGGATATTAGTACCAGAAATGGTCCAGAAAGCAATAATAATAGGAAAATATTCTATTAAAAAGGTCCTCACTAAAAATGCACAATCCAACTTCAGGTAAAGGCAAACATACTTTTTGTGGTAACCCATGTTTAGTATGAGCTAACACACTACATATTTGAGTAGAATTAGTGTTAAAGTCATATTGTTTTACTATAGTAAGCAACCAACTAAAATATCTTTAAGTAGTTAGGAACAGCAAGTACATACGCCAAGGCACTTTTAGGTCCTGAACTTGAATGATTGCTTCCTGCAGCAAATCTTTGATAATTCAAGCAGATGGCACTTATTATTAGACACCTATGAATTAAATATTAGTTATCATACAAAAGAATAGTTTATAAATTGTATAGCAGGTTTAGGATTACCCGTTTTGCTCTTCCAGTAATTCCCAATTTTTGGATTTTTGTTCCAATAATCTGTATTTATAATAAAATTTAGAGATCAGATATCTTTGCTTATTATTTTGATTTTTCGTTCAATTTTACAATAGCTTGTTATAGTATAACTTTTTATCATGTCTAAAAAATCTTGCACTTTTGGTGGAATCTTGTCTTTGTCAAATTTCACAAATTGTTGACACCAACCTGACCAAAACTTCTTGATTTTTATAAAAAAATCTTTTATCCTATCCAAACATCATTTTAATAAGTATTTATATAATGTAATTTGATAAAAACATCATTTACAAAATTGCAACAAGAAGTTAAATGTTTGTCAACTAAAAGCAATAAAGCGAATTAAAAAGGAATTCTTGTTGTCTTTTCAAAAATACTTGGTTTTCTGACTTTTCAGAAACTAACAGGCCAAGTAAAACAATAAAAAATAAAAATAAGAGAATGCTAGGCTTGATGTTTTTTCAAGAACTAACAAGCAAGCAATAAAATTAAAAAGGAATACTAGGCTCGCTGAATTTTCAAGAACTGACAGGCCAAGCAAAAAGAAATAAAAATAAGAATACCAGATTTGGATGATTAAAAAAAAAAAAAATTTTTGCTATATCTAAATTCTTTTAATTTGTGAGGTTATTCTTTAATATTTGTTCTAATTTATCAGCTATTAAATTTTTGCTAACGCCTACATTTAAACTGATGCATTCCTTATTAAACTTCACATTTCTGATCATGCTTAATAAGGAATTTACAAATTCTGCAAAAACCCATTAGGATTTCAGAGGGTAGATTCTAATGCCAGATCAGAAGATTTAGCTCGATTAAGAGTTAAAAATCAAAGAAGGATATTTCTTGTCGCATTGATGTCTCTGTCTATCTCTATTTGATACTGAGAACACTTAAAAGTTTTGTTTGATCCTAGTCTTTTGTGAAGGTATCTATAATTTCTACAAGTCTTTGAAGTATAATGTTCATCACAAATTATAACTTTACACCAAGGGTATTCCTTTGTCTTGTTAATTAAACGTTGCTTAAAACGATAATGAGACCATTCAAGCATTGCTCTTGCAGTCTTACTTCTTATTCTTCTGTTGGCTCTTTTCACCATTTTCTGTGTCTCGAATTCAGGAAGTAATACTATATGATATTGTTCAACAATTCACTTTGTGAATTTCTTGTATACTTCATCAATAAGATTTCAAATCTTTTTTCTAATTCTTCTTGCTGCTTTTTTTAATTTGTAACACTTTTTATGTCGAACTTCTTTTTTTGACTACTTACTTTGTAACTTGTCAAGAGCATAACAGAGATGATAAATTCTTCTAATATCATTTTTTCTTTATTCAACTACAAGTCCAAATGGTAAGTAACCAGTTGCAAATATTTTAATTTCTAGGTCTAATACAAGTATTCCTTCTTTAATCTTTATCTGCAAAGGGGCTTGATTTTCACTCCTAATTTCAAGTAGCATAGGTAGACATAGAAAAAATTCTTCTAATCTAGTTTTCTGAAAACAACAATCATAATTTAACTTATCAGACAATAATTCTGCTTCTTGAATAGGTTCTGTGCCAAAAATTCTTAGATAAAAAACTCCTGTTTTCTTCTAATATTTAGAATAAATGATAATTGATTCTGATTCACTTTTCTTGCTTCGATATTTGATTATAAATCTTTTCCTTTGAGCTGCAATGTTAGTTTTGTATGCTTTAAGCAAATTGTTCATTCCTTTATTTCGAATATTATAAGAGGTTTTTTTTTTTTTTTTTTTTTTTTTTTTTATTTAATATGTTAAATATAATAAGAGATTTCTAAAATTCACTTATTTTTATTTTGAAAAATTTTATTATTTATATAATTGGCCCTTAGGATTTTCTTGTTTCAGAGAATCCTATCTTTTTCTATAGCTGATAATGTTTAATTATAGATTCATCTAGTTGTACCAAACTATTTTATTAATGCTTCTCACTGCTTCTGAGATAGAAGAAGTTTTATTTTTTTGGTTTTTCCTACTAATTCTTTTTTACTTTTATCTTTTGTCTTTTTTTCTTAAACTCACTCTTATTTTTTACTTTTTTTTGAATATGTTTTATTATTCCTAATCATATTATAATTACAGAATATTAAAAATAGGCAAGCGCACTTAATCTGTAGATCCTCTGTACCAAATTTTCTCAAAAATTTTTTTAACAAAATCAAATTTTTTCAAAATTTTATTAAATAAACCTAGCAAGTGCCCTTAAGTAAACTTGCTCTACACATAGTTTTATACCCTAGCGGCCTAGTTTTATAACTTTTGCTTTCTTTTAAGCAAAGTTATACTCAAAAAACTAAAGGCAGCGGAATT